AAAAATCTTTTAAAAAAAAAAGTTGAAAAGGCTCACTCTGGCTACAGTGGAGACTGGTCATAGGGAGGCAAGGATGGAGAAAGGAGACCGATTGGAGGACTGTTGCTAGAGACAGGCGATGTGGCTTGGATGGGGTAGATACAGTTTAAAAGTATAGCCAGCAGGGTCTGCTGGTCGGTTGAATGTTGAGTGTGAGAGAAGGAGAGGGCCAAGGCTTTGGTCTTGCATCACTGGAAAAATGGAGTCGCCCTTTACAACATGGGGAAGACTTGAGGAAGAGCAGGTCTGAGGTAAAATTCACCCGTTCTCTTTCCACCTATTAAGTGAAATACCTATTTGATCTCCAAGTGGAGGTATCCACTTCAAATAATTGTAGACATTTCAAATAATAGGCTCCTCAGAAGAAGAAGAATAGCTAATGATGGTTACTTAGTGCTTTACAGTTGACAGTGTTCCCGGATACATTATCTTACTGTTTTCACATCACCCACATAAGGAATTTTATTTTATTTTCATTTTACAGATAAGGAAACTGAGATTCAGAAAGGTTTGCACAAAAGAGCCAGTTTTTAGATGCTGCCATGCAGAGGAAGACAAAAGTCAGTTACTCTTGATGAGCAGCAGCCAACCAACAGAGAGAAGGCCGCCTTCCCAAGGCTGTCAGGTTGGAAGACCTGTGTCTCCCCAGCCCTGTCCCCAGCCCGAACACAAAGAAGAACTGGTGGGGAAGTGGTGGAGGACAGACCACATTCCCCTACCCTCCAAACCACCATGGCCATGGCCAGGTCTAGCTTCCCTGGGAGGGAGCAGGGCAAGAGCTTTGAAGGGAAGCTTGAGGTGGATATTTTTAAAATGAATATTTTTATTTGTGTAAACATTTAAATGAATCGTAAAAACCATGAAACCATTCTATAATAATTCCTGAAAGTAGCTGAGAATCTACAGCATCCATCATTAAGCTATGCTGTGAGAAAAAGAAGTTTGACGCGGTGTCACTGAGGGCAGCTATTGAAAAAGATCAAAAAAGCTTCATGAGTGTAGAGGATGAGACACCCCAGTAAACCAGTTGCAACTGCATTTCCTTCCCGTCTTTTTTCCATGCATTTTTAAAATATTGTTCAGACCTTACCACTTAGGAAGTTTTGTTTTTTTTATAACTTGCTGTTTTCTCATAACCACTTCTAATATAAACATTTCCCCCAATAGTATTAAAATTTTTTGTAATTGTCATTTTAAAATCACGGTATATTAACCATCTTTGTATATTAAGCATTTTAGGATTACTTTGTTAGATGGCTCCCTACAAGTAGAATTATTGGTTTAAAGGATATGAGCATTTTCAAACTCTTGATAAATTATAACAAATTATTTTCTAAAGAAGTCCTGCCATCAGTATAGGAGAGTAAGAGCAAGCCTTGGAACCAACACCTCCTCTCAGGCTTTTATTCTGTGCTAGGTTTATGAGCCTCGGTTTTCTTATTTGCAAAATAGAGATGACTGCACCTGTCGCAATCATGAGAATTAGAACTGTGTACTCAGTAAATGGTGGTAGTTTATATTATAATGAGGGAAGATTTGTTATTGAAAAAGCTGGCACAGAATTACTCTTAGGAAATTGTCTTTGTTCGTTCACCCAAACTGACCCCCTCCCCCGCCCCCTGC